AGCACTACTCGCCCTGAACAGACCACGAATTTACTCAGGGGTAGTACTACAACATCGTGAAGCTTTGGCCGAAGTATCATTAACAATTTCGTTACCTTAAGATGGATGAAACGTTTCGTCACATCAAAGGGCAACCGTCTTACTAATTCACTAGCCAAGAAGGCAGCCAGTCAAATACTTTTTGGACCTGACCCTTCCATTGGATTGACAACATCGGTAGTGAGAAACCTAATTAACATTCCCTAGTGAAATTCAAGGAAAGAGGGGATGAAACAATAAGCTGTAGAGTTGCCATGGAGCCTTTAAGTTATTCCGACAACACCACAGCAAACAAATACTTGACTTGACTTGACAGGCATTCTGACTGATTATTGTCAACTACAGAAGCATCTCCATAGTATGGAGCTCTCAGAATCCACACACTGCAGAGGGTGCGAACATGAAGACGAGAACATCCTCTACGATTGCCCGAGGTTCTCATTTATTAGAACATTTGTGTTCGGCGAGTATTGGCTAACACCGACCAGTATAAGACGGCGACGTTATCAACTTTACATCAAACCTGTAGGTTGGCTGACGAGCTAAGAGGAACCTACTATTTACGAGCATTCACAATGGGCCTAGTGTTACAGATTCAGATATACTGGGCAAGGGCGTAGATAAGGGGGGTAATGGAGGTAATTACCCCTTCCAAGCCATAGTCAACATCAATATTTTTTTAATCGTTATATTAAATAAAAATAGAGAGATAAAATAAATACAATAAAAACAAAAAGTTTCTCACACATTGGGGTCTATTCTGTAACAATTCCTTTAAATTTAACGGCCTTTAAAAATATTGACGGTCTTTAAAAACATTTTCGTATTCGTTAATTTACTTCTGTCGTTATTTAAACATATTTCTTTAAGATAGTCCTCTAATGTATTTTAATGATCCGTTTAAATAATGACAAGTAAAGAAGAAAATATTTTTAAAGGCCGTTAAATATAAAGGAATTGTTACAGAATAGACCCCAGAGTTATCTAAAATAATAATATTCCTGCAAATTGAAAATTAAAATTTATATACAGGGTCCCATTAATTCGTAATTATTCAATATTTCAATTAGTGTTATTGACAAGCACACAAGTTTTAACAATAGTTATAAAGATTTGAAAAATACATCATTTAAAAATATTTTTGCGTTTTTGCCTGAAAAATTAAAAAACCCTGTATATTTAAGAATATTTATTAAACATACAACTTTTATATTAATTTGTTTTTCCTATTTCCAATAATAACAGCTATCAATCAATTACGCACTATTGGGACATGTTGGTATCGTTGGATAGGTAAATTTATAAGGAATTTTATGCGAAAATAATATACAGTGTGTCAGAGTTGGGTCGGATACAGGAAAAAAGTATCCGAGTACCGGATACGGATACTTACAATGTATCCGGATACTCTTTAGGATACTTTCACCTAAAAAGTACTCGGATACAAGTATCCGGATACTTTAAAGGATACTTTTACGGATACTTTTAAAGTGAGTTGAAATAATGTTTTCATTCCAATAGTTATAATTATGCAATAAGATTAATTACGAGTAACAATAAGCATAAATAAATTATCAAAAATGGAAAGCGATATAATAGAAAGAGGAAAAAAACTACTCAATAAATTGTTTATTTTTATTCTGTGAATATAAAACATTAAAACAAAATAAACAATAAAACATAAAGGTGCGTGTAAATTGTAACGTGATATCTAGTTATTTTATTTACTTGTTATCACATGTGATCTATTTAAATGAAATGAAAATGAAAACTTTTGACACAAGGCATAAGCGACAAATGACATTTGAGTAAGAGGTGATTGTGTCGAAATAACGGTTCCAACCGTTACAAAATAAAACGAGTCGCGCCTGAATCTCGCCAAAAACTAGCCAGTGTTGTGTCCATATAAATCTAACGAAATAAGCTCGTTGTTGGTGTCACTTGCCATGTTTACACAACCTTTCGATATTTTCGTCAGTTTCAGATGTATAGCACAAGTAGAAGTTGGAAAGGCTTTTGATAGGTAGAGAAGGGGTAAACGTCATACCACGACGGACGGCTTCGAGAATTTCGCAGTAATGTTTACCTGCCAATGTCGTTTCATATAATTAGTAATTTTAAATTGTTACCGGACGATCGCATGTATTTATGGACTATAAATAATTATTAAACATGTATCTCTCTGTATCTGTAACGTGTGGAAGGTGGGTTACCTCCACGGTACTTAGGACTCATTGTATTAAACATGTATTATAATATTCAAATCATAATTTTACAAAATTTCAACAGATATCCACAATTTATTAAACTATTTACTTGAAATTGTTATTAACATCTACAAAATAATTTTGTACGCCAATGTATCGCGTCCACTTCGGTTAGATCCGCCACAAACCTGTCAATTTATGTGTATAAAGTGGGAGAATTGGCAAAAGCCTTTCCAACTTCTACTTGTGCTATATTCGACAATCCATTTTTTTGTGGATCCTCCGACGAGCGGTACGCAGATATTTTTTTCTTAACCATCCTCCCGAGTCCTATCGCTTGCCGAGTCCCTTACGTGTTGCGTTTGCACGTTTGAAATTATTATATACTTGGGAAGCAACTTTTATGATGATTTTGTTTCAAACAGAATTAAAAAAAATTATTTTCAAATTTTTGTGTTTATGTAAAATTGACTTTGAAATCTCCAATCTTAAGGTGTTCAGTAGTTATTTTACATTTTTTAGTATTGTTAACAAATTCCATTCTTTCACTGCTTTTGAAAATTGTTTTACCAACATTCAATTGAAAATTTTCTTTTTTCTACAAATTAAGATTTTTTAAATTGCTAGTAAATGAATGAATTAAGAACTATATTTTGGCTCCGGTACGCTTTAGGTACTTACGTTGAAATTTGGAAAAAAACATTGGTTACTCTAAAAAGTATTACATATTGTAGGTACATTTCTAAAAAAAATACAGATAAGAAATTTTCTGTTAAAGTTACAATTTTATAGGCATTTCGCCTTAGGTAGGTATATCTACAATTTTTGATCTACAAAAGAATGTGTGCAGCTACATATTTTATTTTGTAAAAAATTGAAATTATTTTATAAATACATAATATTTTGATTCATTTATAAAAATTTTGTTTGCCATATTTTTTAAGTAATTCAAGAAAATTTCATTATTGTAAATATTTACATATTTTATCCAGTTAGATACTGAAACTCTTTGCAAAACTGTATGAAAATTATAAAATGTTAGGTTAGGAACATCAAAATCTTGCAACTTTTCTTAGAAAATATTCGGTTATCAGCATTTTTTTTTTTAGAAATGTCTACAGAATGGGTACTTTTTAATGTTCAATTTTTTTCCAAATTCCAAAAGTATCCGAATGCCGAAAAAAAGTATCCAGTATCCGGATACTTACAAATTTGGTCACGGATACGGATACCGGATACAAAATTTGAAAAGTATCCGAATACAGCTTTCGGATACACATAAAGTATCCAGATACTGTATCCGGATACAGAAGTATCCGGATACTACCCAACTCTGCAGTGTGTTGCATTTGACAAAATTGAATAAATTGAACTTAAAATTAGCCATATTTAAGACATGTTTCAAAACACTTTGTATAAATAAAATAAATCAGTTCTATCACCTCGGAAATGGAATAGTCTACAAAGATCAACCAGAAGTCCCTTTTTTGTGACAAATGGCGTGAGAAATATTTATTAATCTTACGTTTTATGAAATGTAGGATGTTCAAAAAGTTTTGAATAAAATTGTTTCTTTTCCCCCTTTATTCTACGTCAATGGGTTATGGTAATTTATCGAAATAGTGTGTTAACTAATAATAACGATTACCTATCATATACATATTTTTAAGTTTAAGTCTTTACTGTAAGGGAAGATATTTAAAAAATATGTATTTATGAAATTCACTTTATCGCCCTGTAAAATGAAAACTGGGAAATTTATAGGAAAATTATATTTAGCTTTTCTTTATAATTGATAAAGATACACAAATCCTCAAAATTACGGTACTTTATTCTGAAACACCCTGTATAAATATATAAAAAATTAAAAACTTCATTATAAAACTCACTCTTTTTTCTGGAAATACACATATAGACGTTGCATTGGTACCATATTCTAAGATAGCACGCTGCGCATTCACCAATAATGTGAAAAGTGTTACCCCCCAAGAAAACAACCTAGCTACGCGCTTGATACTGGGTATCCGAAAAACGGGATGTTAAAGTTGAAAATTCAAAAATCATTAATGGCTATAATTTTTGTATTTCTCAGTATAATTATACTAAATTCGGCAAACATTTTTGGTGTCATAAGATACACCTTTCAGCAAAAAATCAGTTGAATAAACTTTGCCAGTGGCGTACGGCATGGATAAGTAAAACCTAAATCCCCTCTAAAACGGCACTGTCAAAAACATTATTTGGATTATAATTTGAAATTTTTTGTTGTTTTTTAAATAAATCGTGTACTCTTGTTGGGAACTTTGACAGATGTTTAGATTATGAATAATCTGAAGTTCATCGACGTTCTTGCAACCGGCTGTTAGTATTATAAAAAACTATTTGACCGGAGTGTTTGTATATAAGCGAAAAGATAACCCTGACAGCAATAAGTGAGTTGTCAACGTAAATGTTTTTAAGAATAGGCCTAAAAAGTTTTGCGCCGGCCGCTTACTTGAAGTACGAGTACCAATATAAAAAAGTTCTACTTTTCGATTAAGTCTTCTCTCCGGAAGACGACGTTTTTTGACATATTCAAATAAAAACATTGTTTTCCTCTTGGTTGGTAACTAGGCAATAAATAGGAGGTAATAAATTAAAGAAAATATACCTACTATTTCGTGATTTTTTTTTATTAAAAGTGGGATATTATGGTAATGATAATATAAATTAGGATATGGAATTAAAATAAATATATATTTTTTAAAAACTTACTGGTGGTTTCTTTTTCCTCCGAAAACTACTTTGCATATTAGGCTCTTCGCCCCTCACTATACTACTAGCCCCAATAGCTCCAATATCTAGAGTTCCCAAATTCAAATTATTCCAGACGTCCATCTTCAGCTGCCTTCACGAATTTGCAACTACACTAATAAATTTTATAAACTTGTTTATAAAACTTCAAAATTAATTAATCTAAATTTAACGCACGATTTATTCTAACAAAGCATCATTGTTCAGTAAAGACTGGCACATGTGGTAATTAGTCTATCAATAGACAGAGTGGACTCTAATAGAGAAATGAATGTAAGTATGGGAACATTGGAAGTACAAAAATAGGATGTAGTTCAGCCAGGGCATGAGAATTTCTACTATTTATTGGATTTGGCAACTGCTTGGCAATGTTAAGTCTTAATTAACATTTAATATATGGCGACAATGATGACTTGTCTGTTGGTGTATCTAAATAATTCGCTAAATACAACATAATATTTTAAAAGATGTCGACTGACATGCACTCCTTAAAACATGCAATTTGTAAGAGCCATTTGTTTAAAATTAAATTGCCTAAACAATACGTATTAAGCTTAAGTCCCTTCAAAATCATTAATTTTGATTTTCTCTTATTGTAATAATCAAAACAATAAAAAACATGTCTGATATGTCACAGGACCGTATTAAGGTATCAGCTATAGTAGTAGAAGTAAATAAGCTGTAATAGCACTTTTTCAGCCTAATATTCAACTTATTTTTAATTGATGAGCTTCTTCAGATTTATGTTCAGCCTATACCAACTAGCTGAATGAAGGTATACAATTTGACTTTGTTAGTAAGCCAACGATATGCAAATGTTTTTCAACGACTCACTTAAAGAACAGAACACCTAATTTAAAACGGAATCTCCCATGTTAAAATTCGATAAAGTATTTCTGCGCCGAAGTGGATATTCGGAAGAAAGTGGCGCCATCTTACGATCAACCTTAGATAATACAAAACACCGGGACCATTCAAAAATTGTCAGTAAATATTACCAGAGGTAAAAAAAATTGGTAAATTAAAAAAAAATGAATTTGCCATTGAATCATTTATATAATTGGCTATCATATCGCCCCTGCATGGAGAAAGAGTTAAATTTAGGGCTGCTAGAGATTGACAATAAATAAAGTGTCTTTTACCCTAACCCCTGCTATGAACTATTCTGGTGGATGATACGTTGTTATGTGAGGTATGGGATATCAATACAGTGTGACTTAAGAGCTCTGTTGTTACCTCATCTGACGCTAATGCAGCAAGGCAATAGTCTTGATGGCTATAATGACCCTTCCAATCCTATCTTCTCAACTATGTTTTGAAGTGGCTTCAAGATAGGCCGATTGCCCCCTCTCCTATTTGGTACGCTCCTAAGTATAGTTACCATGAATTCTGAAGTGCTACACAGTTAAAATGTGAATGGAGGTTTTCTTAACACCGAGATGTCCTCCTGATGGACTGTCGTGTAACTGACGAAGTACTTCGGCTACTCTACTCTTTGGAATGACCAACTTCTTCTTTTCTCGGAACCATCACTATTTTCAAGTACTAACTTTAATAAGCCATCTTCCAGTATAAAAGAGTCCCACCGAGCCAAATATGACTTAAGATCGACGATTTTTCTCTTTCCATTGTCTTATCTTCTTTAAAACGGGATCGTTCTCTTATTCTTCCCTAAGTTTAGCAGGGGCCCACTCATCGTTGACTACAGTTGTTCTTAGTAGTCCACTTTCTTTGGATTCCGCTTTGTTGCAGTAAGAGTATCCTGCTGGACATGGTCTTTTAGAGAGAGAATCGGCATTTCTGTAGCTTATTCTGGCTCTATGTTCGATCTTAAAGTCGTATTCTTGAAGTAGTTCAATCCATCTGGCGATTTGTCCCTCTAGTTTTTTGAAGTGCATCAACCACTTAAGGGTGACATGATTTAAGAATTTCCTTCCATATTGGTATTGGTAAAAATGTTCCATGCATTTCACAACTGCCAGGAGTTCCCTTCTCGTGACGCAGTAATTTCGCTCAGGTTTCGGGAGCACTTTACTAAAATTAACCAGTACTCTTTCTTTTCTCCTTCTGTGAAAGCACTCCTCAGATTCCCACATTACTGGCATCAGTATCCAGGATAAATTCTCCCTCTGGTAGTGGGTAGCCTAATATTGGCGCTGTTGTTAAATGCTTCTTTAAAGTTTCGAAGGCAGTTTGACAGTCTTCGTCCCAGCAGAATTATCTTGCTTCTTCTGTGAGTCGCGTTAGTGGTTTAGCAATATCTGCAAACTTCTTTATGAATCTTCGGTAGTACGTACAAAGTCCAAGAAAACTTTTTATTTGGTGTTTATCCTTTGGTTGTGGCCACTCTTTGATAGAAGCGATTTGTTCCTTATTTACAGCCACGCCATCCTTGCTGACTACATGGCCCAGGTAATTAACTTTATTTTGAAATAGTTAGACTTTCTTGGAGTTTAGCATTAGTTGGCTTTTCTTGGAGTTTAGCATTAGTTGGCCTTTCTTGGAGTTTAGCATCAGTTATGCAACTTAAAGTCTTTTAAAAACATCTTCTAAGTTTTTTAGATGTTCATCAAATGTCTTCCCCAAGACTATGATGTCGTCTAAACACACCAGGCATAACATTACATTGCCACAATCCGCATTCGGTGGTAAAAGCTGTCTTTTCTTTGTCTACTGGATCCATTTCCACCTGCCAGTATCCAGACTTCAAGTCTAAGGTAGAGAATAGTTTACTTCCGGCCAATGTGTCCAAGGTATCGTCGATACGAGGCAGAGGGTAACTGTATTTCTTGGTAACATTGTTCAACTGACGGTAATTCACACAGAACCTCGTAGTTCCATCCTTTTTCTGGACCAGGGCTACCGGAGAGACCCAAGGGCTGGTAGAAGGTTCTATCACCCTATTTTCCTTCATTTCCTGAACAATCCTCTCAGCTTCCTCTTTTTTGGCCTTTGGTAATCTTCGAGCTGATTGACGAATCAGCCTGGCGTCAACCAGTGTCAATTTTGTGTTTTACAACAAAGTTCTTCCTGTTTTTCCCCCTTTTGGTACAAAAATGTCACGATATCGTCAAAGAAATTCCTTTATTTCCTTTTTCTCTAATTGATTCAGAGATTGACCAGCCACTGCAATCATTTGCTCGAATTTGTCATTGGAATTATCAGAAGTTGTTGTCTGACGAATTATGGAAGTTACTGGTACACAAGTTCCGATTCTTGTCTCCTTCTTGATGGTAATTGGGTGATCATTAACGTTTATAAAACGAACTGGAATCTCTTTAGCTGTCGTGACCAACCCCTTTCCGATCAGAATTTCTCGTCCAACCTCTTCATCGTGGTTCCAAGGTTCCATCATGACAGGTGTTCCTTCTTCCATAGTTTCTTGTAGCCGTGCTACTATAACGGTTTCATTTCTGCCAGGTACCACCGTATTCTTCTGTACAGCAACTGGCACGGTACTGTCCCCATATGGATGTAGGAATACTTCTTGGACACCAACTTTGATCACTCTGTTCTTAAAGTCTAACTGGAAACCATGTAAGTTCATTACATCCATTCCAAGTATAACATCTTCTTCGATATCAGCGACACTAACAGTATGAGTGAACTTTTCTGTACCAATTCCCAATTAAACCTGGATTTCCCTATGGATGTTGGCACATTCTCCTGTGGCAGTCCGCAGTCGCAATCTTGTTGGTATAAGTTTCTTACGGTTATTTATGGTTGTTGGTCGTATAATGGGCCTAGTTGCTCCAGTGTCCACCAACAGTGTATAGGTACTTTTTACACTATCATCGCGACATTTCAAAGAGGCTATCAGTATGAGCGGATCTTTGGAACGGTTTCGGGTCGAAGCTGCCCCCTCTAGACCGACCCGCTCTAGTTTTTCTGCGGCGTGTTATCTTCAGTTGTTGGGCCCCTAGGGCATTTACATGAACTGCGTACATGTCCCAGTTCACCGCAATTCCAGCACCTGATGGTCTTTGTCTTCATCTTTTTATCAGTAAAGCTCTTCATTATGTTAACTAGTTGGTGGAGTTTATCTTCTACGTTTTCTTCCTTTACAGTCCTCACTTTACTGTATCCTCCAGAAGCATGCGTAGCTGCCTCATAATCTAAAGCAGCGGACAAAACATCGACCAATGTTTTGTGGCGAGCTAAGCGGAGTGTTTTCTGGATATCGTGGTCTCGGAGTCTATCAACAAATGTTTGGACTGCCAAACATTCCATCATGTTTGCCGGAGCTGATGGGTAAGCAAATCGCACCAACCTGGCAATATCTACTTTATATTCTTGAAGGGTCTCGTCTCGTTTCTGTTTGCGATTCTTTAACTGTGACAGGTATAAATGCTCCAAATGTTCGTGGCTATATCGCATGTTGAGTCTCTTTTTTAGTTGTTCAAAATCAACCGTCTCTTCCACAGGTATTGTCAGAAGAACATCTAAAGCGTCTCCTCGAAGGACGATGGTCAAATTTATTGCCTTCTCTAGTTCAGACCATTCGTTTGCTGTGGCAGTTGTTTCGAACTGTTTAAGGTAGTTTGTCCATGACATCTTCCCGTCAAAAGTTGGGGCTTTAAAACGAGCAGAATTTATAGCTCCTTCCATTTTCAACTTTGACATCACCTCATGGCACTTTATTTTACCTTGGCCGGTTCTGTATGTTCCAGTTCTTCTATCTTATTTTCCATCTGTTTTATTTTCTCCTCAACGGTAGACATTATTTTCTCCTCTACGGAAGATACCCTTTCTTCTAAGGAAGAAATATTAGACGAAAATTTATTTTCCATGGAAGACATTTTGTTTTCCAAGTCGGAAGAAATTTCGGTTTTTAAAGAAGATATGTCAGAAGACACCTTTTCTTCTAAGGAAGAAACTTTACTATCTAAGGAAGAAATATCTGAAGAAACTTTACTTTCTAAGGAGGAAATGTCTGAAGAAACTTTAGTTTCTAACGAGGAAATGTTAGAAGAAATGTCGATTTTCATATAGGACATATCAGATGAAACTTTGGTTTCCATGGAAGACATTTTACTTTCCAAAGAAGAAATTATAGAAGACGCATCATCAGGAAATATATACGTTTCCGGATCCAAACCTTCACTTTCTAGTGCTTTTTATAATTTATTTATTTAAAACATACTATTTACAATTTATTTATGACGTAGTAATTAATTTATATAATACTTATGCCCTACTCACAATTCTAATTTATTTATTACAAGTCAACTTTTCACTTTATTCGAATCTGCCCGTCCGTCGATAAGTCGTGCTATTT